GTCTAAATTAACTCATATAAATCAAATATAATTTCGTAAATTGCATAAACAATTATGAACAAAACAGTATCATGTATTTATGCATTGCTTAATACAAAGAGCCGAATCGCCCATCACGCAGATTGAATTTAAAAACATAAAGAGACGCAGTGAAAAGGAATAAACCTTCACAAATTCGCGACGTGTTTTCTAAAAGTTTAAACTGTTTTAACTTTACATGGCTGTCTACATCTCTTGTGTGAGAAGCGAGTGCAGCAGTCATATTTGTCCGTCTAAAAAAATGAGCTGAATATGCGTTCTGTGTGCTTGGTTTCGGTTTTAACCTAATCAAGATCTTCTCTGCATTGAGCTTCTATATTTCTCTAATATTTTGAATGCATAACGCAGCAGCGGCGCATCTCCTGGACTAGACTAACAAAATATTAAAATGCAACCACGTCACTTACATCATCATCACCGCATCTCGTGCGCCACTGATGACGCTCCCTGATGACACCTAATTCTACTGGAACCAACCGTGAGGGTGAAAATCCTGACGAACTTACCCAATGGCTCCAGTTCTTGCACAGTGTCCTTCCATACAGGCTCAATATGGATGCAGGTGAAGCACCACTCTGACGTGATCTTGATCAGGTAGGGCCTCTTGAAACTATCCGGCAGCACCTCATTGATGTACTGGTTGTAGTGAAAGAGGTGCTTGCTGTCTGTGAAATCGCGACTCGTCCGAGGGAAGTGAAAGAAAGACTCATCGAAGTAGAAGCTGTCATGATAATGTCTGAAGCCCTGCGGTGCTCGGGCGAAGTTTTGATTCTCGTCCATTTGACCAAACCGGTCATAGTTTGCCCTTCTCTCCTCGTTGGACAGAATCTATGGAAAGTAAATCATATGCAAATCAATATGCATGCTTATTACCAACGCCACGAGTTGTGGCATTGGTTTATTGCATGTAAACCCTTAAACAAGTCTTTAAAATGAGCAGATATTTATTATCAGCATCTGTGAGAATGAGTAAACATACATTTACAAGAAAATACTACTGATTTGCCAAAAACACATGCAATAAAAAAAACAATAAAACCAATCATAAGCTATAAATGTTAGATAAGCATTGCATAAAAATCTATAGCAGTATAATACAATATTTTTATAAATATTTAAGTCACTATAATGGTATAATGCTATATATTTATTTACTAAATGTAATATATGTATAAATAAACATCCATCTATTTTATTATGCGAGTGATTATAAATTATATATATTTTTTCCATTTTACGAACACAGATACATATGCTAGCATTCAAAAGTTAAGACATGTATAATGTTACAAACAAAAAATTATATTTTCAAATAAATGCTGCTCTTTTGAACGTTCTATTTATCAAAAAACGAAATCCTTAAAAAACATATCAGCTTCCACAAAAATATATTTCTAACACATGAAACATTTTTTTAGCATTGACAATAAAAAGAAATGTTTCTTGAGCAGCATCATCACGTGAATATACAGGTGCATCTCAATAAATTAGAATGTCGTGGAAAAGTTCATTTATTTCAGTAATTCAACTCAAATTGTGAAACTCGTGTATTAAATAAATTCAATGCACACAGACTGAAGTAGTTTAAGTCTTTGGTTCTTTTAATTGTGATGATTTTGGCTCATTAAATGATTTTAGCAAATGGCTGCAATATAACAAAGAGTGAAAAATTTAAGGGGGTCTGAATACTTTCCGTACCCACTGTATGTGGTAAAAATGGCAAAAAATAAAAACACATGTTTTTGTCTTTACTGCATATTATTTCCTATATACAATGCAACCATCCTACCTCATAAGATTTTGTGATCTTGATAAACATGTCCTCTGCCCCAGGACTTTTGTTCTTGTCTGGATGCCTATGGATAGAGCGTGAAAACAAATTTTGATTCAGACATCATCATCAGAGAGTTACACAATACGTGTCAGAGAGAAGAAGGCTAACCATTGTGGATGAAACAAACGAAACCTAAACTTATTCACAGCAATCCTATTCTTATTTAGAGAGTGCATGCCTATGGCCCAATGATCTCTGTCGCTCTCTGTTTCATCACTCACCATTCTCTTGCGAGCCTCTTGTACACTTTCTTGATTTCGGCCTGGCTGGCATGTCTGGACACTCCGAGAACTTTGTAGGGATCAAACTCAGGCGCAGATGCCAGGGAATCTCCAAACAGTGCCAGGAGAAGAATCGCCCAAACACAGCAGGACACAAACACACTCCAGCCTCCCATCTTGTGGTATATATGAACCGACAAGCTACACAAATAGAGGAGACTGGGGCTAGTTGTCACACATTTTACACAAGAAAAAAATTCTCAGGCTTAGACACAAATCTTAAATTTGGGCTTCAAATAAAAGCTAATGAACATTTCAACCGTTATTGACCACTAAGAAAAAAAACATACTGTTCACTGAATCCAATAGTGGGGCATGTTGTCACACTAGAACATACTATTACACTGCCTATTATAGGCTTTTTAACTAAATGTAAATATTAAAACAACCATAAAGCATAAAATACGTAATTAGAGCAAAAATGTAAAAGGTAACAAGAATATCAAACCACTGTTTTGGTAGTCAGTCTATGAGTAAACAGTACTCACACCTCTCTAATCACCTGAATGCTAGTATTACAATTCATTTCTTCTCATCTGAAGCGTTTCTATGGGAACCAGCACACCGAAGCGATCAATGCAAGTAAATCAGCATCAGATCAGCCGCGCGGTGTAATCACATGATCAGTGCGGTTCAAATGCATAAGACAGCGACTATTTACAGCAGACAAAAACACTGTCAGCGTCTGATAACACAGATATACTGAGAAAACACTGGCCGATCTAATGGTTTCAGCATCAGTGAACAGAAGCGCGAGCTGCACGCCCTACAGAGGATTGACGCTTCAGTGCAGTTTTAGCATTAATGCAAATACGACATTAAAAATAAGAATCCAGAATTATTGTAATACCTAGGCACGACTCTTGTTGTAATAGTATATATCCACAATTTAGCAGCAATCCATGTTCTCCCGATGGTAATGGGTGGACCGTTTCCCCCGCCTTACTTCCGGTAGTGAGGGATTGCTGATAAACACTTTCTATGATAAAAGTCCGACGGATTTTATCCAAATTCGCTTTTAGTATAATTTATAATCTTAATCAGAGCATATTTCATAATGCAATTTCTTTTTTTTAAATTTTATTTTAGAGGTCAGTTTATTTGTTTTAGAGAGGGAGAGGACGATCTTTATGATCTTTACGGTGGACGTATAGATCTTTCTGAAAAACATGTATGAGCAGTTATTTTAAAAGATGTCTTTTTTTACATGTTTAAGCAATATAACACGAGCAATAATCGTTTTGGTGTACATTACCATGGCCATACAATGTTGTTCCCTTTCGAGCATTCACTTTACATTGCGAAGCATTCGCAGTGGGAACTCCTCTCCTTCTCCGAAATCCTGAAACATTATAGGATAACGCCAGACAGTTCAACAAACTGGCCAATTGTCGCTAACCTATGCAAATGAATGCAAATACTGACAAGCCAGTATAAAATGTGGCGAGAGCGACAGTTGCCTGGGCCTTCCCCTTCTTCGGGACGAAGGTGACGACTCGGCCCCGGGCCGCCGTGGACTTCATCTCCTTCACTGCTGATGAGGAAAAGGACTCCATGTCCATCTCGGCTTCGGAAAGGACTGGGCAGAGTTGGAGCTGGATCGCCCCGACACCGAGGGCCCTGCTGACCTCCATGATGAGCTCATCAGGGCTTTTGCTAAGGCGGTTAAGGAACTTGACCTCAGCTGGGATGCTCCGGAAGAACCAGCCAGGAGTAAACTCGACTCCTGGCACTTCTAGTCGGGCCGCCGGGCTGCTTCGAGGAGATCTTCAGGCTGCTTCTTCCCAGATGTCCATGAGCACGTCGTGAAGTCGTAGTTTGCACCCCAATTGGTGCGAGTCCACGCTCCCACGCAGTCTCTCTTTTCCCACGTAGACGGGGCGGAAGCCCACGAATACGTGCGCATGCCCCCCATCGAGGATACAGTCACTGCACACTTATGCCATTCTTCGGCCATGCTGAGCGCAGACCCTCAGACTGCCATCCAAGCCCTGCAGGCTGACTGCCCACCTTGCTGACAAGGCTTACACTTCCGCCGGTGAGTCGGCATCCGCGCTACATGCTATGGCGATGCTGCAGGTTTTCCAAGCCAAGCTCCTGCAATCCATGGACGGAGGCAGCATCATCGCTGAAGCGATGAAAGGCCTGCATGCGGTGACGGTCTTAGCGCTGATGGCAACTCGGCCCAGGCCATTGTTCGATCCATGGGCTTTATGGTGGTCTTTCACAGGCACCAATGGTTAACCCTAGCTAACCTGAAGGACTCTGACAGCAAGACGCTCCTCAACGTGCCAATGACTCCCTCCGGCCTCTTTGGTGACGCTGTGGAGTCAGTGGTCGAGCATTTCTCTGAGGCTCAAAAGCGTGGTGATGAATCATCTAATGCCCTGACACGCATTCCAGCAGCCATCAAGATCGCGCTCCTCGTCAGCACCCCATCCTGTGCAGAGAGCGACTAAACAGCCCGCTGCGTCCTCCGCAGCAGCCCGTCCTGAGCCGATGTTTGCCGCAGACAGTGGCCACTATGTTAGTTCCTAGATACATGGAGAGCTATTCCAGGCATTTCGCGCTGGGTGCTGGACATAATAGAGCAGGGGTATTCTCTCCAGTTCAGACGCAGACCACCCCGTTTAAATGGCGTGGTTCCATCACTGACACTGCCTCGAAATGCCTGTTTTGAGAGTAAGTTCTCAGCCTGCTCGCAAAAGCTGCGATAGAGCGAGTCCCTCCGAGCGGGTTTACAGCTTTACAGCCATAAAAGATGCATACTTTCATATTCAGATAGCACCGCGCCACAGATGCTTCCTGAGGATTGCTTTTGAGGGCACAGCATACCAGTACTCAGTGCTCCCTTTCAGGCTGGCTTTAGCCATAAGTGCGTAAGTGCATAAGTGCGTGCTTTCCCCTCTCAAAGTGAGCGACGATTGGCTGATTTTAGCCCATTCAAGAGATGTGCTTGTCAGTCATACGGATGTGCTGCTTCGCCATCTGGAGTCCCCTAGGGCTGCGTGTGAATATGCAGAAGAGCGTGTTCACCTCGATGCAAGCTCGCCTGAGTCGCCTCTCTCAAGAGTGCATAACGACCATTTCATCAGCTCGACGCCACTTCAGACTGGGCCGATCAGTTCCCTTGAGGGAATTTCAGAGGCATCTGGGACTTATGGCGTCGGCTTTGACAGTTTGCCCCCTGGGTCTTCTACACATGTGGCCGCTATAGTTGTGGCTGAAAACTCGAGACCCGTGGAGAGCATGGACCACAGGGCGTATGCACATCGAGGTCCAGAGCCTGATTTACCTCTTTTCGTGACATAGGCAAAACAAACTTTGGGCCCCCTTCCCTATTAATATAATAGGCCTAATATTACCACCCAAGCAAACAAAAATATTTCTTAATCAGTGGAAACCGTTACAGTGTTTTCTATCGCAATAAGCACTTGCGTTCAGTCAATATTTTAATGCACCTCATCCCAAACCTTCAGTTGCAAATTCCAAAATATTATTTTAGAGCTAATAACATAGGCTTGAGCCATTGATATGCAGGCTAACGCAGTTATTAATGCAGTCTAACGCAGTTATTAGAGAGAGAGAGCGAAAGGAATCTTTAAGTTGAACTGCTTCAAGAACCTCGCTACTGAGAAATGCAAAACTATTTTATTGATAAATTTGCGGGGCAGCCGCAGCTCTGACAACAAGTTTCTGTCCGCAATTCCGCCTGTGCGCGCGAGTACGTGTCTGTACTGTGTGTGCGTCTGTGAGAGAGAACGGGAGGGAGAAAGAAAGCGTGATTGCCGTACATAAAAAACGTGGAAGACATGGAAATAGTTTGTCATTTTTACCCTATTGTTTGTTATATTTATTTGCTCAATGTCTTGAGCAATGCGTAAATCCGGCCCTGTTAGACGGCAATCGGAAGTTATTACAAACACTCGATGGTGGTTTAAAGTGACGGAAAAAGTCAACTCAGGTCAAGGTGAAAAAGCAGACCAGAGTGATGTACCACCCGTGAGGACTCGTGATGGTAAATTATATGTTCATGTTATGAGAATATAAAACTTCTTTACAGTTACATATTCAGTCACTTGTCCGCATCATCAAAATACAATCAACAAAGTACATAGAAATGAAACAGTTGTCACAAGATCATGTTTCCATGCATTTACACAAAAACCGAAATTCATTACATCACAAGGTGGATTCACGTGTTACATTACGTGACGATTTAAATCAATGTAATGACACCTCATTTAATGGCTGAAAAGATCAAGTCATACATTTATTAAGCTACGCTGTAACCTGGAAATTACCAAGCAATGTTTGGATGGCCTAATCAATATTCACACATGCAACTCAATGAAACTTAAAGTAGGAGCTGTCAAAGCACATTTTTAAAAGATTAACTATTTTTAAACAGTTCGCCTATTTAAAAACACAGTGCTCATGGTGCAAGAAAAAAAACAAAAAAACATGACAGAGCAAAGACATCCATGCATGTGCACATTGGGCAACAACTAAAAAGTTCAGCAGTGGGGTTCCCCTGGGACTGGAGACAGCATGCACTGTGGTCATGACAGATGCGTCAACCTCAGGCTGGGGAGCAGTGTGCGAGGGCGTACCTGCTTCAGGCCTGTGGTCAGAGTCTTAGAGCAGGTTGCACACAAACCACTTGGAACTGAAGGTGGTGTCCTTAACCCTAGCACTGGCTTTTCTGCCGCAGCTGGAACAGCGGCATGTGCTGATTCGCACCGACAAAATGTCTGTGGATTCGTACATAAATTGCCAAGGCGGCGTGCACTCCAAAGCCCCTTTTCAAGCAGGCTGCATGTCTTCTATTATGGGTGGATCGTAATCTACTCTCCGCCAGAGTGGCACATATCCCCAGTCTCCTAAACCGCGGAGCACACATGCTTTTGAGGAACGGAATCCCTCACGGGGAGTGGAGACTGCATCCCAGTTCATTTTGGATGATTTGGGATCACTTCGGGAGGGCAGAGGTCGATCTGTTCAAGACAAGCAAGAACACACACTGCCCGCTGTTCTTTTTGCTGTCTCACTCCCTGCTGATGGGAGACGCTATGACGTTGCGCTGGCCGAGAGCCAGACTCTATGCATTACCCCCGGTGAAGAGTTTGGCTCTGGTTTTATGCAAAATCACGGAAGAGAGAGCATCGCTGATCCCCAAACTGGCCAAATCAAAATTGGTTTCTGGACCTCAGGGAGATGCTGGTGGCTCCCCCTTGGTGAATCTCCCTCAGAAGGAACCTGCTGTCTCAAGCGAATGGCTTGATATGGCACCCCAGCCTGGAGCTGTGGAGTGTTCATGTGTGGCTGCTTCAGGGTTCCTAGAGGAGCTAAGCGCCCTGCCTCCCCGCACCAAACTCAAGATAATATGAACTGCCCCTGGAGGAGTTTTTATTTTTTGTCTTTATAACATAGCCTAATAACAAAAGCAAGAGCGCTATTTTCCCAAATATCAGCACAATTACATGTGTGATAATCATTTTACACAACAGTTCAAGAGGTTACTGTCAATTCGTTCATAAAGAGTTTGCTTCATTCATAAAATGTTTGAAGGAATCGGTTGAATGAATGATTCTCTAATTCACTTAGCTATATCTAGCGGATTTAGTTCCAAATATAACAATAATATAGTTTTCCTCAAACACGATTCGTATTTCTATATTCAAAATACCCATTTTAAAACATTAACCTCATAATTATTCATGAAATTGTACTTGCAGTGTAAATGGATTTTGTTGATACTAGTTTAATTTGATATATACTTAGCTAAATGTATTAATGGTCATATGGTGTTTTAATGAGAATACATGAGCACTCGCGATCACCGCATATACATATACATCATTTACTGTGCAAAATACATGCCAACATTAGACCATTCTTACCTTTAAACGACTTAAATCGATACTGATTAATAACAAAGCATTGATTCACCAAACAGACATCAATCTGTGTTATGCCCAGTTCAGACTACACAATATTTTTGTCGGTCACGATAGTCACTGTGTCATCATGGTGCAAGAAAAAAAACAAAAAAACATGACAGAGCAAAGACATCCATGCATGTGCACATTGGGCAACAACTAAAAAAATAGAAAGCAATGCCTCCAAAAACTCCGTTCATAATTTACAGCAAGCTTAATTGCAGTAATATGAGTATTCCTTATTAAATATTTAATTAACATTATTTGAATAAAACAATCTTTTGATTCATATTATTCCTTCCTTTAGTTCAAGAAGTCGATGATGACTGGAGTGAAGACCTATCGCTGGAGGAACGTGTCAGTGGTCTCCTTGAAATCGATAATGACAGGAGTGAAGACCTAACAGTGGAGGGACCAATCACCAGTCACTCTCAAGTCGATGATGACTGGAGTGATGCCATCTTCCAAAATTTAGTTGGTGATTTGTCAGAATGGAGTGCTGACGTTCTCCATGCTCTTAATAGTGTTATGGGCAAATTTAATTTCAACTCTGTCCAAACTCCAATTACACCTGATTGTAGTAATGACGTCCCCCAAACTACAGTCAGTGCCATGTCCGACTGTAGTGATGGCATCCCTCCATCTTTATGCTGTGACATGTCTGACTGTAGTGTTGACATCCCCCAAGCTACAATATGTCAGACAGAGGACACTGTGGCACCTCAGTTGAGCCAGAGACAACAGATATTGGTCAGTTTGCTACCATAACCCTAACATAATCCGAACACACTCACACTTTAATCAGCAGTTTTAAATGAAGTAATCACTGCTTGACATTTTATGTCAACACCTGTTATTTATCTTTTAACAGACATCAGTTCACGCCGTTATAAAATCGGCAGTCAGCTGGGTAAAGGAGGATTTGGAACCATTTATGCAGCGACTTGTTTGGACGAAGGCCTTCAGGTATCAATTTTCATTACTTACAATATTTGTCTAGCTAATTATTTTTGTCCTATCATACTTGTCTCACACTCTTCTTTGCACGCACTCTTGGTGTATCATATATTAACTAGAACACTTGACCTGTCAGACCTGTGTAGACATAATGTACATGCTTAGAATTTAAATTC